GCACAAGAACAGAGACATAGACCTCCAGAACAGGACTGAGAATCCAGAGATGAAATCATCCGCATATGGTAATCTAATCTTCGACAAAGCAGACAAAAATATACACTGGGGAAAAGAATCTCTTTTCAATAAATGGTGCTGGGAAAACTGGATAGCTACATGTAGAAGAATGAAACTGGATCCCCACTTCTCAGCTCTCACAAAAATCAATCCAAGATAGATATCAGACTTAAATCTAAGGCATGAAACCTTAAGAATTCTAACAGAAGATGTTGGGAAGACCCTTTCAGACATCGGCCTAGGCAAGGAATTCTTGAAGAAGACCCCAAAGCAATCACTGCAGCAACAAAAATAAATAAATGGGATCTGATCAAATTAAAAAGCTTCTGCAGGGCCAAGGAAACTATCATTAGAGCGAATAGACAGCCTACAGAATGAGAGAAAATATTTGCTCTCTACACATCTGATAAAGGGCTGATAACCACAATCTATCTAGAACTTAAAAAAATCAACAAGAAAAAATCAAACAACCCCATCAACAAATGGGCAAAGGAAATGAACAGAAACTTTTCAAAAGAAGACAGAATAATGGCCAGCAAACATATTAAAAAATGCTCAACATCTCTAATCATTAGAGAAATGCAAATCGAAACCACAATGAGATATCACCTAACCCCAGTGAGATTGGCCTCTATCAAAAAATCCCAAAACGACAAATGCTGGCGAGGATGTGGAGAGACAGGAACACTCTTACACTGCTGGTGGGACTGCAAATTAGTGCAACTTCTGTGGAAAAGAATTTGGAGATACCTCAAAGAGCTAAAAATAGAAATACCATTCGATCCAGCAATAGCACTATTAGGCATCTACCCAAAAGAGCACAAAACATTCTATGATAAAGACATCTGCACCCGAATGTTTATGGCAGCACAATTCACTATTGCAAGGATGTGGAAACAACCCAAGTGCCCGTCAATCCATGAGTGGATTATTAAAATTTGGTATATGTATACAATGGAATATTACTCAATCATAAGAAACGACAGTGATCTAGCACCTCTTATATTTTCCTGGATTAAACTTAAGCCTATTATCCAAAGTGAGTACCACAAGATCAGAAGAATGGGCTCCACTTGTATTCACCATCAAATTGGTACTAACTGTTGAACACTAGGGTGCTCACATGGCAGTAATACTCTCCAGGGATTAGGGGGCTGGGGGAATAAACCCACAACTAAAGGACACGGGGAGCGTTGTGAGGAGAAAGTCATGCCTCTAACCCTGGCTTGGGTGAGGCAAAGACATAAAATGTAACCATAATGTTTGTACCCTCATAATACCCTGAAATTAAAAAAAAAAGGCAACAACCTGAATGTCCATTTAGATAAACAAGATGGGGTATATACATGCAGTGGAGTATTATTCAGCCATAAAAAGAATGAAGTACTAATACATACAGGGATGAACCTTGAAATCATCCTAAGTGAAAGAAGCCAGACACAAAGGCCATATATTGTATGATTCCGTTTATATGAAATATGTAAAATAGTTAAATCTATAGAGGCAGAAAGCAGATTAGCAGTTGCCAGGAGCCAGGGGAAGAAGGAAATGGGGAGTGACCCCTGAATGGGTATAGGGTATAGTAATGAGTATGTCTGAGTGATGAAATTGTTTTGGAACAATTGTGATCACATTGTGAATGTACTAGATGTAACTGAATTATACACTTTAAAATGGTCAATCTTATGTGAATTTTATCTCAATTTTAAAAGTCATCCAAGTTAATACAGCTCTAATATCTTCAATATTAAAGTGGGACCACAAAACTTAAGTATTATCCCTATCACTTAAAGTTCTCAAAATTGTTTCCTCCTTCAGAATGAAATCTAGATAGATTGACCAAATTATTAAAATTTTCAAAACATGTAAATATTTTTGAATTGTGTTGAGAAAATTGTTGGTGACGATATTTCAGAGGAAATATTGTCCCTAATGAGTTGTCATGTGGGTCTTGTGATAAATAATGCAGAATTTCATCTTTCATTACATGTGAATTTTGGATTTATCCCAAACTAGAGGGAGCTTCTGCCTTTATTTCATAGCTAGGAGAATATGATATCTAAAAATGTCAATTTCCACCAGGGAGATTTTCCCACAGTAGTGTTCTTTGACCTTCTCTCCCTTGTATTATGTTCCTCAGAGATCTCCAGACTGAAACAAGCACATTCGGATGAGACAGATCATCTTTAGCACTCTCAGAAAAGTCACCACCCAGTGAAATTCTTGGAAATCTGAAACAACCAATTTTAGTATTCAGAATTTTAAAAAGAATGTACATTACAGCCAGGAATGATTTGCTAATGAATTACGAATTATCAGCATACCCGTTTGCTGTAGTTGGCAACCGTGCAAGAGTTCATTTTAACAGAATGACGTGTTCTGAAATATTCTCACTCATTTACAACCAATATAAAATTATGGAATGTTAATTCCTACAACAAGAACTTGTGACATCATAAAATGTGGGTTTATAAGAGAAAAGTTATGCCAAGCATGGTGGCACACACCTATAATCCCAGCATTTTGGAAGGCTGAGGTGGGAGGATTGCTTGAGGCCAGGAGTTGAGACCAGCCTGGACAGCATAGTGAGAGCTCCTCTCTACAAAAACACAAAGTTGCTAGCCTTATTTTATTAAAATTAAATGTGCTACTTATCCAAATGTAATAGAAAAATGCAATCATAAAGCTAGCTTTAAATACATTTTTTTTTTTTGAGACAAGAGTCTCACTGTGTTGCCTGGGCTAGAGTGCCGTGGTGTCAGCCTAGCTCACAGAAACCTCAAACTCCCGGGCTCAAGCAATCCTTCTGCCTCAGCCTCCCGAGTAGCTGGGACTACAGGCATGCGCCACTATGCCCGGCTAATTTTTTTTTCTATATATATTTTTAGTTGTCCGATTAATTTCATTCTATTTTTAGTAGCGACGGGGTCTCGCCAGGCTGGTTTCGAACTCCTGAGCTCAAACAATCCGCCTGACTTGGCCTCCCAGAGTGCTAGGATTACAGGCGTGAGCCACCGTGCCCGGCCCAAACATTTTTTAATAAAACTTTATTCTAACTGATAAGTTTAAGGAAATACTGGTATGCTATTTATACATTTTCTCAGTGTTCCCTACCTTTGGACTCCAATCATTCTAATATATCTGTATACTGGAAATTTGACCAGGGTATATGGTACTTCACAGTAACATTCCATATCCTAATATTCAGAAATGCCTGTATACAATTTGATTATACCATTTTGTAAGCAAAGATCAAATGGAATATTTGATAAGTGCTTAGTTTTTATGAACAGAGTTTAATCTAGCTAGCCATGGTGTTAATATAGAACACCATATCTTTTCATGGGCATGAGTAATTATGTCATATCATAATTTTTTCTTTCAAAATGTTTCTCAACATTTTGCTGAGAAATTTTTTCTCCCAAGTAATTATAAGGGTCCCATTAACATGCTTGTTTGAAAGCAGACTAAAAACATTTTAAAAAGGAAGAAAATATATTTTGCAAAAAAAAATTTTGGTTTTAATATTTACGTATTTGTAAACTGTTAAAATGCTCTCAAAAATGTTATCTAGGAAGGCACAATTTGATAGCATCAATTTTTTATTCATAACTTTTTCTAAGCAAGATCCCAAGAAACTGCCACCTTAATTTTTCCCTTCAAGTAATTTAAGTACTTCAAGATTTGATGTGATATACAAGTAAAACACTTTCATTCTCAAACTAAGAGTTAATAATACATTGAATAGTGAACAGAATATGAACATACAGACTACTTTATCAAAAGACAATTATTAGGATATTGGGTTCAGAGATTAAAGAATTTGAAACAAGGGCTTTAATGACTGGAGAAAATCAAAGTTCTTCTTGAGGTGGGTGGGCTTTTAATACCTGAGCTAGAAATTAAGTGCAGAAATATGAATCAACATTAGTTATCCTGAACACCAAAAGAGCAACAGCAAAAGCATTATAAATAATGTATGGTGATAACTTAGTAAAGATCAGTTACCACTCTAGGCTAGACACTAATACAACTGCTTGTAATTTCTAATTTTAAAGAGTTTGGCTTCATATTTAAGTTTTCTTTTACAATACATATATAAATTATATATACACAATGTTGTCCTGTAACTCAAACTATAATGCTCATGTCTATAAAGAATAGTTTTTTATTTCGGAGATGCTCAAAAGTTCCACTACTCCCCTTTTTCATGTTTATAAAAAACCAGCAATTTCAAAAATACTTCTAAGCACAGAAATGCTCAATGGTTCACCTAAAATTTCAAGCCCATATCTGTAGGTAGTTTCTCATAAAGTAATATGTTGTGCTGTATTACTCTGATATTTGGTCAAACACCCTGTTGATTTATGAACATTTTTCCTGGGCAAGAGTAATTAACAACATACAATGGGATCAAGTTGAATATGTTGCTGTTCACTTTCTATACTCAATTGTGCTTGCATTCTAAAAATTAAAATGAACTGCAGTAAGAATAAGAATATAAATTATGTCCATTTGTACCATATACTAAAACTAAAATCCTAAAAACCAGAGAATGAAAATACCTTGTTAGTTGAAAAATGAAGGATAAGAGGCAATACCAAATGATAGTATATTTCAATCTTTTGTTAAAGCTCTGAAATTGTAGTAAATTGCTAACCAAATTGAGGTAGAGGTAGACCCTAATGTTATTCCTTCCATGTGTCAGAACTCAGGTCTCTCACCTTAACTTATATGCATTTTCCCGTAATTATATAAACATGATTCAATTTGGAATGTAATGTTATAAAAGAAAAATAAGATCATTCAAATGGTACTTAAAAAATTCTTAATTGCTGGCTAAAAAAAACACTTATAAAAAATGTACACAATAATTCAATTTTCTTCTTGCAGGTCATAAATATTTTTCCTCCAAGGGTAGGGGTAAAAAAAAGCAAAGATAAACTATGATGCAAATATTATGAACAGTTTCATAATAAAGGCATCTGGAACATAACTAGTAGGGTATGAACATTTTACCTTAGTGTCTAATTTCCCCTTTGATCGTTACATAAGCTTTGATTCATATTAAATTTTCTGCTAAAGTAAAACTTCCTTTTCACACTTAAAACAACTTCCATTAAACACAAATCTATTTCCATTTTAAATCACATACAAGTGCTATGTGATCAGAGGGATGGGAAACACTAGGTAAGGCCTGGTGGGTGGTAACTTCTTCGTGACTGGGTAATGGAATCACCTGTTCAACCTCTAAAGCATTTAAGTCAATGAAAATGTAATCTAGACATCCATGAAAGCCACCAACATAATTTGTGTAAGCAGGTTCACCACAAGCACTTTTCAGTTTGAAGAAATGAGTAAGAGACATGTTGCATCTTTCCTCTTCCCCATTGGAAGACCAGTCTTCATGATCCTCTGGAATGCTTCCATTGATGACAAAATGATACATTCCTGTTGATGGCGTACTATTAAAGTCTCCACAAAATATAACTGGTATGCCAGGATACAGATCACATGAGACATGTCTAATGTGAGCCAAGGCTACTGCCATTTGAATGAGACGAATGTACCCACCTATGAATATAAAAAACATTAATGTAAGTACTTTTTAAAGTTGTCTGTAAGTAAAAAAAGAAAAGAAAAAACTCAAACTACAGTCTCTGGGACATGTTGAAGACATATACTTGTGTAAAACAGGTTTAACAATCTTAAGTCATGTTGAAGTCACTTGTGAAACCAAATTAAACCTACCTTTTGGATGCCAGTAGAGATGGGTATTAGCAACACATATCTTTTTAGAAGAGTCCTTTGTAGACTGAAGAACTGAAACCTGAGGGGGGGGGAAAAAAAAAAAGGAAAGTGCCAGGAGTTCAGCTGGTGCCTACCAATCTCCTGAATATTTTTATCTATGACTATATCAACTAACATTTTATTCCATATCCTCCCCTTGACAAAGGAAGACTGAAATTACGAAATTTGATTTGCTATTTAAATTTTAGGATCTACATGAACAGGATTCATGTGTCACATGTTTTACTAACGTGTCCAACATATAAAGCTATTATAAAAATAATACATTTTACATGACAAAATTAAGGTTGGAGACTGTTTTCAAGCAGGTTAGTGCAGGCTTTGGAGTCAGGGAGACCTAAGTTTGAATACTCATTTTACCATTTACAGCAGTGTGACCTGGAGAGAGACACTTTTCTAAACCAGTTTCATGTTGGTAAAGAGACAATACAGTGGGCATGGTGGCTCATGCCTATAATCCTAGCACTTTGGGAGGCCAAGGCAGAAGGACTGCCTGAGGCCAGGAGTTTGAGACCAGCCTGGGCACAACAGCCAGAACAGAAAAATTAGCTGGGCATGGTGGCACATGCCTGTAGTCCCAGTTACTGGGAAGGCTGAGGCAAGAGAATCACTTGAGTCCAGGAGTTTGAGGTTGCAGTGAGCTAGGATCAGCCACTGCACTCTAGCTTGGGCAATAGAGCCAGAACCTGTCTCTTAAAGAAAAAAAGAGGAATATCGGGATTACTGTGAAGATTAAATGAGCCAATAATAAATAAATACCAGCTGATATTGACGGAGCACTTCATAAAACACACCAGGCACTTAAATTCTAAGTACTTTAAAAATGTGTCACGACAGTGCTTGGAACATAGTAAAGAATATTAGTTATTACTACTATTTGTATATTTAGCATGTGTTCCTCTCGTTAGAATATAAATACTGGGAGTGTCCCCGCTTGTCTTGTTCAGGACAACCTGCAGTATGTGTGGTAGGCACACCAGAGGTGTTCAGAAAATACTTGCTGAATGAATGAAGACTAAACTTTTGTGCTGAAGATACTAGAGCAAACACCTTTCAACGAAATCTGGATAGCTTTATCTCATTATCCTCATCCTCTCCCCACCCCTTCTTCCAGGCCCCTAAAAATGGGCGAGCATGTGAAAAGATAGGGGTAGCTACTTTACCTGAAGTACAGAAGATCTCTGGAATACTCTCACCTGCGCCCATGGGTACAAAACTAGTTTCTCCAGCAGTTCTTTGTGAAGGGGGTCGGACTTCAGGGCCTCGTGGAAAGAAATGTCATGCTGGCTAAGGAGGCTGAACTTAGACTTTCGGTAGAAAGTAGCCAGGCCTTCGTGCTGCTTGATTCGAAACACGCCCTCTAGCCCAAAGGCCTCGAGGGCGGGTGCCAAGCTGTCAGAAAACACAATCCGGTCAACTTCCTGCAAACAGATGACGTCGGCGTTGTAGCCAGTGAGCTCCTTCTGGATAAGGTTCTGGCGGTAGTCGAGCCCCAGCGCGTAAGGGGCACAGTATGGGTACAAGACCGTCCGCGAGAACTCAGTCTGAGCGTACGTGTCTGCCAGGATGTTGTAGGAGACAGTGCGGATGAGAGAGTCCTCTGTCACCTTCTTAGTGTAGAGATGCCGGTGGTCAAAAGTGCAGGTGCCAGGCCCGGCCTCCACCGGACACACACTTACCCTCTCCCGGCTGGGCCCGAAGCGCTGTCCATTGCCTGGGGTGCAATGAAGCAAGAGACGTAGTCCGATGTCGGCATTGGACGGGACGAAGACGCGCTCCTCCACACCTGTCTCGATCCAAGTAGAAGAGGGAATGGAGGGAGACAGCGACGAGGGACCACCAACCTCAGACTCCGCCGCTCCGGGCTTGGCTTCCTTGTACCAGCGGAAGAGGGAGCAGGCGGGATCCCCAAATTCTAGGCTGAGCTTGGGGAACACAGGGAAGCCCGCCATGATGTAGCGCGGCAACTGCAGCTCGGTGAAGGCGGGCGGGTTGCGCTCCACTTTGTACTTGACATCGCCTATCTGCAACACCGCGCCGTCCTGCCACGCGTCCACGTTGAGCACGTCCTCAGCCACTGCCTCCTCCCGGTAGTACAGCTTCACCACGGGTTCGCAGGCTGTAGCCGACTCGGGCCCAGGCCCAGCACAGGCCGCACCGCCACTTGAGTTCGGCCGGTTCTTCCTGCTCTTCTTGGCGGCGGCCGCCTTAGCGTGGCCCTTGATGGCGTTCGTAGCGATCCGGCTGAGAGCCCTACCCACCGGCTCGCTCTGGTCGCGCTGCATGTTCTTGTGGCTGCCGTCGGCAAGCGCGAATGACAGGCTTAGCTTGGGCTCCGAGGGCACACAGCGCACTATAGCGCGCTCCATCGCACCTGCCGCCGTCTCAGTCGCCGCTTCGGCCCGGCTGCGCTGCTCCACCGCTATCCGGACTCCACGAAGCGCAGCGCGGGCGCTCGGGAGCCTCCACATGAAACTGGTGGCCCAGCGGGTGACAAGACCAGAGGCCGCCGGCTTTGGGATTCATTTATACTCGGCGACTTCCGTCCAGAGAAGAGAGGGCGTGCCGGGCTTCCGCTGCGCACTTTCGCTACGCGCACTTAACTGCTCTTTCTGTAGCCATTCGTGTCTCTGATTTCTCGCAGATTAATTTTTATCTTCAAACTCTGTCAGAATGAGGAAGAAGTGAAGAAAATATAAAGGCGCCAGAGGGAAATACTAAACTTCACGGTTTTGTCGAAAGTGCAGGCTGGGGGCAGGGAGGGAAGGCGCACCAAAACGGAAGTGGCTGGGGCGGTGTCACGTGTTCCGCCGCGTTGGAGAAGGCGGGCGCCTTGCTTGAGGCGTTTTTTCTCACCGACGGGGTTAGACTGCGTGAGAGTGTGAGGAACTCCACGCGGATTGCCAGCTTAACTCCGGGCGTGGAAAGCAATTTCTCATTTCCTCGCTACAGCATTGCCGACCCTGCTCGCCCTTTTCCGAGGTGTGGTGGTTTCGCTTCAGGCTGGGCCAGCGCCTGTTCGCCGAGCTGAGCCTTTGTGGTAGTTAATAACGGATATGCAGTAACTTCCATTCAGTGAGCCCTGACTATGCTAAAAACGTACACATACTATTTTATTTAAGCCTCACAGTTACTCTGAGGCAGGTCCCTTTATGCGCACTTGCAGATGTGAGATCCAGAGAGATTAGGTTATCTGTTTAAGGTCACACAGATAGCTAGTAAATTGGCGGAAACAAATAGTACTGACGAGCTACTGAAAGCTGTTCATTTTTAATTGTTAAAGAGATAGGGAGATCCTATTTAGAGTTGCCAGATTTAGTAAATAAAAATAAAATATTTCTATTTCTTTTAAATACCTTGAAGTGTGCATAAACTTGTTTTGTTTGTAGACCTTGTGAAATCCAGTGTGACTGTAGCACAGTGAGCCCAGAGGAGAGTAGCAGGTGGAAAGATAGTTGTCCACCAGCTTGAGTAGTGAAGTTGTGGATTTTCTTCTTCTTAAATTTTTTATTTTATTTTTGTTTTATTTTTTTAAGACTAGTCAAGTGCAGTGGCGAGAAGGGGAGGACGAGTAGAACAAGGTCGATTTTCTTCTAAGTAGAAGGACCATTAAAGTTGTTTTGCTTCCAGTTAGGGAGAAATTTTAACTTTCATTTTCCTCAAAGGGAAAAAACTAAAAATACTTAGTTTAATTTTAGGAAAAAAGTTTTCAATATTGCAGTTCCATATAATTTTGTTTCAAAATTTTCATAGAGCCTTAATAACTCAGGAGAACATTTCTTAATTTTAAAAAACTTTTTGTAAAACTTTTTGTTTTATTCTAATAACTTTTTTCTTTTAAAGTGAAGATATAATTCCCATACCATAAAATTCCCTTTTTTACGATTCCCTCTTTTAATAGTTCAGTGGCTTCTGTTTATCATACTATTTAACTTTAGAACATTCCCATCACCCTAAAAGAAACCCTATACCCCTGTTGACCTAAAGGAAAGCACTGAGGCAAATTTAATGTAAGTAGAGAGTTTATTTGGGCCAAGTTTAAGACTGCAATCAGGGAGCATAGGTTCAAGGTGCTCTGAGGTTTTTAAAGGAATGGAAGACGCAGTTCCTAACTTGTTTGCCAATAATTTACATTAGAATAACGTACACTATCGATTTGCTATATACATTGTTCCTTGTATCACAGATTCCAGGAGCTTAAAGATGGTGGGTGAAGCAGCTAGTCTAGAGCAAAATACCTTTAAACAGTTGCCCCTGGGCATGGAGAGGAGGGCGTTTGACTGAAGTCCCATACTCTAAGGCCTCTCTGAGTCTAAAAAATTTTGTATGCTTCACATAGTTTTGAGCTATTTTTCTGTTCTCACCCATTAGCAGTCCATTCCCATTCTCATTTCTCCCCCAGCCCCTAGCAACCACTAATCTTTCTGTCTCTATGGAATTGCCTATTCTAGACATTTAAATGGAATCATACAGTTATGTGGTCCTTAGTGTCTGGCTTCTTTCATTTAACATAATGTTTTCAAGGTTTATTGATACTATGTAAAAGTATGCCATTCCTCTTTATGGCTGAATAGTATTTCATTGTATGATTATACCACATTTTGTTTATCCTTTAACCCATGGGAGGGTTTTAATCAGGGCATTACTGAAAGTTCGGTACTTGTCCCTCAGGCTAAATCAGTGAGAACGAAGAAGGAACTAGGACAAGTGCTTTGAGGAAACGGAAAGAGAAGCTTATTAATTTGCCAGCAAATGAAGAGGGTAATAGGGTCTCAAAAGACCGCCATCCTGGCTTTAAGCAGAAAAACAGGGCTTTTTATAAGGAGGTTTTAGACAGTTGGGCTCCATCTACTGACGAGTGTCCTATGTCATGGCTTTGGGCTATTGTTGTTTAATTGGTGGTTTCTGTCCACTTTGTCTCAGTGATGATGATCTTGTGACTCTTGTACAGACAATTCTGTTGAGCCAATTAAATAAAAAAAAAAAATAGTGAAAGCTGTATAGAAAATGGGACTTTCCTTTAGGCAAATGGATCTAATTTAACCCTATGGCAGAGTGTTAATCCTGGTTTTGAGACATGCCTTAAAGTGTATCACTTTCTTTTTTTTTTTTTTTTTGGTATTTTAATATTTTTGGAAAGAGATAAACATACCCACAGTGAAAAAAAGTATCCTTCTGTTAGGTAGATAGCAAGGGATTCTAGGTCTCCTAGGGATGAAAGTGGGTGCTATTGTGGTTCACCCCCACAATGGGCTTTCAGGGAGACTCATGGGAGATCCTCATGGGCAGTAAGACTCAGGTCATATTAATATAATTCCCAACTGCCCAAAGTGGTTCCATGGTGATGTCTGAGCAATGAGGGAGGTCTCAATCCAAACATTATAAAACAAGACCCAGACCATAACCAAGCCCTTTTTGTTGCGACAGGTGGTCTGATTGTCATCTGTGGGGAATGTATCTTGCTCTGTAAACCTATATCTTGCTCTTGCTCTGTAATTCTATCTTGCTCCGCCTCCATAAATTTCACCTCATGCTTGCATTACTCTGTTGTGTCTGGTGATTCTTTGGCCATGAGCACACCAAGAACTGAGAACACAGCAAGATTGCCAAATCTGACACTTCATACCCCTGGCAAATTATCTGACAAAGGATTTGTATCCAGAATATATAAAAAACTCATACATCTCAACGATGAAAAGTTAAAAATAATCCAGTTTTTAAATGGACAAAAGGTTTGTATAGACATTTCATCAAAAAAGATATATTGGGTCTGGATTGCTTGAGGTCAAGAGTTTGAGACCAGCCTGGGCAATATAGCCAGACCCTGTCTCTACAAAAAAATAAAATATTAGCTGGGCACGGTGGCATACCTGTAGTCCTACCTACTCAGTAGACTGAGGCTGGAGGATCACCTGAACGCAGGAGTTTGAGGTTACAGTGAGACATCATCAGGTCACTTTCCTCTAGTCTGGGTGACGGAGGGAAAACTTATCTCTAAAAATGAAAGAAAGAAAGATATTAATGGCTAATGAACACACTAAAAGATGCTCAACATCATTAATCATTAGGGAAATGCAAATTAAAACCACAGATAACACAATATATACCCACTAGAATGATTATAATAAAAAAGACAATACTAGGTGTTTGAAAGGGTGTGAAGAAATTGGGAGGAATGTAAAATCTTTCAGCCGTCTTGGAAAAGAATTTGGCAGTTTGTTAAAATTAGACTTACCATTTAACCCTGTGTTGGTGCTCAGAAACTGGTATCCCCAAATATGGTGCTTTGTACATGCTGAATTGATAAGGGAGCCTCAAAGTCTCTCCCAAACCATAGGATAAAGTTGTTCTCTGAAGTTTCTTACCTGCCAGCAAGTCTGAATCTACCAAAGAAGAAAACAATTACCTCTGGTCCCATCCTGAGCTTTCATTAACTGAACCCATATCATATGAAGGAAGTCTAAAGTCTGTCAACAAATATGGACAAATTTTTGTCACAGACCATTATCTGCTATGTGGGCCCAACAGACTTTGCCCTAGATCACTGTATGTTCTTCAGGTCCATTGAATTCTCCCTAGTAATCATTGCCTCTCAACAGATTTCTTCTTCCTCCTTCCATAACCTATTTTGCTAGGATCCAAGCCTCCTATTCTTTCTGTAACCTCAAGATGGTATATAAGTTCCTATACCCCATTAAGGGGTTGAATCTTCATTCTGAAGGTTTTGGTGTATGCCTTTTCTCCAGTAAATCTGTGAGTTGATTTTTCAGCGAACCTTCAGAGAGCCAAGGGTCCCTTGGCCCCTGCACCTGCAATAAAGTTTCTATGTTTCTCTCCATGAGAAATGAAAATGTATGTTCATCCAAAGACTTGTACACAAGTATTCATGGCAGCACTATTCATAATAGCCAAAAACAGTATGTAAAAATAGGATATAAAAGAAAAAAAAACCCATAACAGCTGAAACTGGAAGCAATCCGAATGGAATATAATTCAGCAATAAAGAGAAATGAACTTTTGTTATTAATATGTACTACACATGGATGAACCTCAAATGAACATTATAATGGACATTATAATTCATTGATTGTAATGATCCTCAATGAACATTAAGTGAAAGAAGCCAGACACAAAAGACTATGTAATGTATGATTCCATTTAGATAAAATTTCCAGAAATTGCAAACTTATAGAGAACAAAATCAGCTTAGTGGTTGTCTGGGGCTGGAGGTGGGATCAGGGATTTACTGCCCAAGAGAACTTTTTGGAGTGATGGAAATATTTAGAACTGGATCTTGGTAAAGGTAACATGACTTTATAAATTTATTTTAAAATCACTGAATTATGTACTTAAGATAGTGAATTTTGATCACATCAAGCTAAAAAACTTCTGCACAGCAAAAGAAACAATCAACAAAGTGAAGAGAACGCACCGAATGGGAGAAAATATTTGCAAACTACCCATTTGAAGAGAGATTAATAACCAGAATGTATAAGGACCTCAAAAAACTCAATAGGAAAAAAAAATCCAATTCTAAAACAGGTAAAAGATTGAATAGAAATTTCTCAAAAGAACTGCAAATGGCCAACAGGTATTTGAAAAATTGTTCAACATCACTAATCATCAGAGAAATGCAAATCAAAAACACAATGAGATATCATCTCACCTCAATTAAAATGAGTTTTATTCAAAAGATAGGCAATAACAAATGCTGGCAAGGATGTGGAGAAAGGGACCCATTTGCACTGTTGGTGGGAACATAAATTAGTACAGCCACTATGGAGAACAGTGTGGAGGTTCCTGAAAAAACTTAGAACGACCTTATGATCCAGCAATCCCACTGCTGGATATATATTCAAAAGAAAAGAAATCAATATATCAAAGAGATATCTATATACCCATGTTTATTTCAGCACTAGTCACAGTTGTCAAGATACGGAATCAATCTAAGTGTCCATCAATGGATGAATGGATAAAGAAAATGTGGTACGTATACACAATGCAATATTATTCAGCCATAAAAAAGAATGAAATCCTGTCATATTCAACAACGTAGGTAGAACTGGAGGACGTTATATTAAGTGAAATTAGCCAGGCACAGAAAGAAAAATTTCGCATGTTCTCATTCATATGTGGAAGCTAAAGATAAAAAAAATAAATAAAAAAATGAAGCTCGTGGAGATTGAGAGTAGAATGATGGTTACCAGAGGCTAGGAAAGGTAGTGGGGGTAGGGGATTAAGAGGGGATGATTAATGGGTACAAAAATACAGTTAGATAAAATGAATAAGATCTAGCATTCAGTAGCACAATAGAGTGACTATAGTTAACAATAACTTATTGTATAAAAGAACTAAAAGAATGAAATTTGAATGTTCCTAACAGAAATGATAAATGCTTAAGGTGATGGATATCCCAATTACCTTGAATTGATCATTACACATTGTATGCCTGTATCAAAACACCATATGTACCCATAATAATTAAAAATTTTAAAAATATATATGCATGTGGGTGTATGGATTTATTACAAGGAATTGGCTTATGTAATTGTGGGATCTGGTTAAGCAACTGTAAGATCTGTAGGGCAGTATGTCAGGAAGGAAAGATCTAGAGAGGGGAGAGCAATTGTAGATCCAGCTGCTGTTCGGAGCCTGACTCAGGGCATGCCTAAACCTTTTTAAAAGGATTTCCACTGACTGAATCAGGCCCACTGTGTGCCAGACACAATAGTGTAGGTTGTACTCTCTCTTTTTCATTTTTGTAGAGACGGGTCTTGTTATGTTGCCCAGGCTGGTGTCAAACTCTTGGCCTCAAGCAATCCTCCCATCTTGGCCTCCCAAAGTGTTGGGATTACAGGCGTTAGCCATGTGCCTGGCCTGTATTCTCATTAAAACAAAAAAATCCTTTACATGGTGACTGGCACATAGAAGGTGCTCAAACATTTGTTGAATAAATATGCTATTAATACACCAGCAGGATTTATTTAATACCCACCCCAATTTTACTTAGGCACATAGTATTCATATAGGCTGTTATCCTTTAGGTGTAGTGTAGAGTACATAGCTTCAAATAGCAAAATTTCACATTTCTGTCTCCCCGCATACTCAGGAAGTTCACACAGCTTAATCCATTTGATTTTGCAGAGGATCTCCTGAAGGTGCTGTATAAACAAATAGCAAATATAGAAGCAAGACAAATTATATTGCTGATTAGTTACAATATTTACAGGAAGTCACTAGGGGACATCTGAAGATTTGATTCTCCTCTCAGAGTGAATGTTTACCTACATCTATTTATTTTCCAACGGTTCCAATTTCCAGTCTTGCAGTTTTCCACAATTCGAAGATCCTGATTTCCTGGACCCCTTCGCAGGGAAGGCAGTTAGGCAAAAAAATCTCATTCACCCACACTCCGTTTACTTGAATAATAAATCACTGTTGTGACAGGTAATCCTAATCTGTCGCAGCTCAGCAACTACCTCCCCAGGCAACCTTCGTCAAGCTCTTCCGGCAGCGACCTGCGGTTTCCGTGGCGACGACTTTGTTTCTACCCGGTCGGCGACCGCCCTTCTCCAGCCACTCCCTCGGGAGCTGGTGGGGTTCCGACGGTTTCACTCCTCGTTGTCCCCCTTTCTTCCACCAGAGGAGGAAGTCTGGATGTTTTCCTCTCGTCTGAAACAATCAGAACAATCAGACAGGTACTTGTTCTCTACTTTTCGGTCTCCTTCCCAGGACGGGTATCTCAATTTGAGTGTCAGCAGAAATACTCTCTTTTGAGGCAGGAATCTCCAAATCCTGTAGGAATTCGCGGCCAATGTAGTTGTTATCATAGTTAAATGGTTGAGCATTTTCCTGACATTTTTAGATTTGCGGTGCATTTAAGTATGCCCATTTTTGCTTGATCATAGCATCACTTTCTAGGAAAGTAGCAAGACTAAGATACAATACTGATGTTTAAGAGTATTAATGATGTTAAATATCAGCTTTTTTTTGGAGGGAGATTATCCCTCAACAACTGGATTTTGTTGTTCTTATGGATTGCATCTAGGGAAAAATTTGAACTTAGAATTTTAGGGCTGTATAAGGATATTTAGAGAGCATCTAATTCAGTTCCTTAATTTCATCCAGTAGGAAACTGAAGCCCCAAAGGGGAGCAACTGGCTCATTTCTTCACAGCAAAGTGGGTTGTATGAATTCCTGCTTACTTATCTCAACTGCCATTCTTTAGACTAAAACTGCACTTGCGAGGAAGATCTAAAAAGGTTCAGGATTTTATTTTTGGTATTATGTAAGACATGTTATAAATATATCGAGGCTTGCTTTTACAATAATGGCTTTATGGACTTTTTAGGGGACCAAGATGTCAGATCCAAACAAAGCTGCCATTGAAGCAGAAAAGGAGGCTCTAAACTTGAAGTTACCCCCCATTGTTCATCCCCCAAAAAACATAGGTGTTGACACACCAGCACAAAGTAAGTTGCTAAACTACAGAAGATCCAAGGAGCAGCAGAAGAAAATTAATCAGTTAGTGTAAGTAGCATATTAGTAAATAATTCTTGCTTGGTATTCAAGTGAAGTGGTTAGTGTTCATATTCTCATAAAAAAGTTTTAACTATGCTAGATTGTTCATGGGCAAAATACTATCTTCAAGTTAACTAGAAAAGCAATTGAAAAGTAATCATAATGATAGTACATATTACACACTACTCACTCTATCAGGCATTGTTCTTATCACTTTACCTGTAACTTCTCAGAACAACCCTATGAGGTAGGTACTATTTTTTTTAAACATGTTTCACGGAAAAGTAAAGATAAGTATTATAATATTGTTATCTCTATTTTTTAGATGAATAAAGTGAGGTACAGAGAAGTTAAGTAACTTGTCCAAGATCACACAGCTGGAGTTTGGACCCAGTTGGTCTGGTGCTTAAAGTTCACATACTTTAAGCATCACACTATTGCTCTTCTCAATATATTACAAACATACTGGTCCCTAAAAGTAAAACCAAGAAATTGGACCTGTACAAACAGCATTGCGTTTGAATAAACACTTAATAAAATATCTCGAAACCGCTTGTATTTAAGTTTTTTCTACACAAAAGAGAACACAGTTCAACATTCTGCTCTCCCATGCCCCCGCCATTTAGCAGAAATTAAAACTAATTTAGGTATCAGCCAAGAAAGGCTGTGATAAAGATAGTTCAATTCCAGTCAACATTTACTGAAAATTTCCCGGGCACTGGACTCTGGCGGGATCTGGGGATAAATAAGAAAAAAAAGATAGGAATCTCATTTACAAAATCCCAACCCAACTCTAAAGTATAAAATGGGAAATTCTCTCTGGTGAATTTTTGTTTCATTTTCTTCATTCTCTTTCCCTTCTTGGTCAGCCTCATTTAAAAACATTTTTGCAACTGACTAAGTTTTACTATTACTTCATTGATGATCATATTGTTGCCAATTTAATAGTTTAAAGTTTTGCTGATTTTACTTTCCTTATAATTAAATAGGTCTATTAATCATATAACTTCTTTAGATGTACGTTTTTATTAGTCCATCAATCATTTACTCATATTTAAATCTAAATTCATAAGCTATATTAACTAATATCAGTACATAGACTATTAGAGATCCTTTACTCGCTTCATTCCTAAGACTCAATGTTTTAGTAGACTTGGAGAGTAGAGAAGGGAGTTCTCCAGGAGTTATATATTATTCTTACTTCAAAAAAAAAATTTTTTTTTTGAAACAGGGTCTTGCTTTTGTCACCTAGGCTGGAGTGCATTGGTGTGATCACAGCTCACTGCAGCCTCCAACTCCTGGGCTCAAACAATCCTCCTGGTTCAGCCTCCTGAGTAGCTGGGACTACAGGTGCACACCACCACACCCAGTCAATTTTTTTATTTTTTGTAGAGATGGGGTCTTACCATGTTGCCCAGGCTGGTCTTGAGCTTCTGGCCTCAAGCAATCCTCCTCCCTTGGCTTCCGAAAGCACTGAGATTACAGGCATGAGCCACTGTGCCCAGCCTCTGTCATTTAAGTAAATATGAGAAAAGCTCTGTAGCAAAGGGGATATAGTAAGCATTAAAGCCCTGAAATATGAATTCTTTTAGTGCATTTTAGGAGTTGATAAAGGCCAATGTCACTAAAGTATAATGAGCCTGGGGAATAGTATCAGATGAAGATGGAGAAGAAGGTGGGAGCAGATTGTGCTGTTCCTTGTGGGCCATGATAAGGAATTCAGATTTTTATTTTAAGTGCAGAGGAAGCTATTGAAATGTTTTAAACAGGGAATTGACATAAAATCTGATTTACATTTGAAAGATATCACACTGGCTATTAAAAATAGACTGAGGTAGAGGGGAAGCAGGCAAGAGTAGAAGGAAATAAGGAGACCAGACAGGATGCTATTGTAGTAGCACAGATGAAAACTTATTGCGGTTTGGATAAGGCTGGAGATGGTGGAGGGGGAGAGAAGTAGATTTACAAGGGATATGTTTTGGAGCCAGAATCAATAGGATTTACTATTGGATTGGCTTTGGTAGCTAGGTGGATGGTAGTGTCATTTATAGAGAATTGGAAGTCCAGGAGATGGGGGTAAGAAACAATAGTTCTCTTTTGGAGTTGACATGCCTATGTATAATAACATTTAAGGGGAAATATGTTCACTGGCAGTTGGATATATGAGAGAAGAAGTCTAGGCTGAAGATATAAATTTGGGAGTCACCAGCATGTAGATGGTTTTTAAAGCTATGGGGAATAGTTGAAATCACTGAGAGAGAGAAAAGGAGAGAAAGAGAAATAATTGAGAAAAGTGAAGGCCTAGGACTAAGGTTTTAGGAATTATTAAAATTAGATGTTGTGTAGGGAAGGGTCAACCTACAAATTAATTGCCTAAGTATGACCAATAAAGCAGAAAGAAAAGGAGAAGAGCAGTATGCCATAAGCGGAGACAGCAGAATGTGTTATAAACAACATATTGTTGTTTATTTTCTTAGTTGTCTTTCCTCTTCACTTTATTTTGACATGCTTAAGGAGAGAGAGAGCACAGTGTCTGGCATGTTATTGTTGGTGGGTGAGTGACTGAATGAATGAATTTTTAAGGAAAACCTTACCTTGTGCTTTATACAGATCTGTAAGTATTATAGTACCACTTTCATTTGGGTGCTTAATAAAAAGATACTGCCTCGAAATTACCTGAGGCATAGTGCTGTATTAATACTGAGATTAGAACTGCTATATTTTTCTTTGGGAAAAATGCATTTGGAATTAAAAGTTTTTATATTGGAGACACATATTTCTGGATGGCCATGGACTTTGGGATTCTACATCCCCTTGATACCTCTACCTTTTAGGTGATGGGAAAGTAGTGTTTCAAAGGTGGATGAGTTCTGTGGGTAGAGTTCCAGGGGTGAGGTACGATGTGAGGAGTTGTGGGCAGAACTGGGCCCCCTGCTAGGACCAGTCCTTGGGAATGCTTGGCTGAGCCAATATCATTTTATAGCTTTCCAGTGTCTCTGGAATGAGCCTGATTTTCTTCCTTGAAAACTACCTCCCCTCTTGATTTAAGCTGGTGTTTCTCACCTTTACTGCATGTGGTTTCTTGCATAGTATTTTGAAATTATCCAGTTTTTCTTTATTTGTTTTTAACTGTTAATATACAAAGCAGAAACAGACAGGGAGTGAAAAGGCTTACTCTTGTGTTCTTCCCAGCTCTTTTTATTTATGGCCAGTAGCAGAAAACACACGCCAGAAATTGCTACTATATTAAAGGGTGGCATTTATATATAAAGTGCTCAAGGAAGTTAGACATAATTATGTTGGGATAATTATAGCGTAAGCCTGGCACTATAACTAGTGCCAACTAGCATACCAAAGTATAAGGCAAATTCCTGGAAAGTAGCAATCCCTGAAAGCTAGACTGTTCAGGGAGAGATGATGGATAAGGGGAAGTCTGGCCTGAGTCTTAAAGATTAACAAAGAAAAGAAGAAGGAGGATATTTCAGGCACATTTTTTCTACTCCATGTGAAAAAGTCTTAGGAATTTCCATTTAGTATAGGCTCAGTAAGATTCAACGGGGAAATGAGGCTACTTAAAAAATGCTAATTCAGTTTTAGGCTACTTTAATAAATGTAGAATGTCTATAATACAGGAGAGAAAATTTTCACTCTGCACTGGTCCAACAACATCTAGAATTCTGGGATCACACTTTAAGAGAGACATTGATAGATGAGAATAGATACAGAGATGTCATAATCTGTTTTCTGTTGCTATAACTGAATACCATACACTAGGTAATTTATAAAGAATAGAGGTTTAGTTAGCTTATAGTTCTGGAGCCTGAGAAGTCCAAGAGCATGGTGCTGGCATCTAGTGAGGGCCTTCTTGCTATGTCATAACATGGCAGAGGGCATCACATGGTGAGAGGGTGAGAGAGCCAGAGAGAGAGCTCGCTTTTGTAATGAATCCACTGTTGTGATAACGAACCCACTCCTGTGATAGTGACATTAATCCAGTCATTCAAACAGAGCCCTCATTAATCCATTAATCCATTCATGAGGACAGAGGGATTAAATTTCCAACACATGAACTTGGGGGACATATTCAAACCATAGGAAGAGGAGAGTGAGGAAATTTGAAACTGCATAAACTTCCTTGGTGAGAGTATAGGCTCTGGCATCAGTTAGGCCTGAGTTCATATCCCATCTCTGCAGCTTATTAGTGATGTGAATTTGGGAAGTGATGTGATTTTACTTATCTTCATGTTTCTATATGTAAGATAGAGATAAAACAGTGCTTAACTCTGAGGATTTTGGTGAGAGTTAAATAAGATCCATGCATGTTAATGCCTAGAACATGATAAGCTCACCATAAACAGTAACTCTTATTGATAGGAATAGTTGAAGGAACTGGATGGGTTTTCCTAGGTTTTGGAAGGGTAACATGGAAGAAGAATATGACTTTTTCTATGTAGCTCCAGAGAAGAGGAGTTTACAAGGATACAGCTCAATATAAGAAATGTATTCCTAAGAATATGAGTTAGTGGACAATAAATTGGGCTGTCTCAGAAAGTAATGATTGCCATTTTCCCCAACCCCCTGCCCAAAGTACCATGGTAAAACTGATATTGTTGAAAGCATTCATGTATCAGGTAAAGGTACTGAACTAGACATGTGAGATCTTTTCCAAATTACTATTATGATCATTCTTTCAAAAGATATTTATTGAGCTCCTATACCTTGATGGAGACTATCCAAGTAGTGTGGATAGAACAGTGAGCAAAACAAACACAGTCCTTGTCTTTATGCAGATTACCAGTGTATTTATGGCTCCAGTGGCCACCCTTTCCTTGAAATTCCTTTTGGTTCTCCTCTTACTTCTCTGATGGTATCTCCTCTGCTTCTTTGTTTTTCTCCATTCCTATCGTACTTGGCATCCTCCAATCTTCTTTCTGAGGTCTCTTTACTTTTCCTTATATACTTTTTCTTTGGCCATTGCTCCCAGTCTATTTAGCCTTTATAAACTATTAGATTTGTTTTCCTAAAAATGTTTCCATGCAAATGAACTCTCAGTGACGGTCTATTGACTTCTCTATTGAATAAAAAAGCTATGATGCCCTTAGCTGGATGTTTCAGCTCACTTCCCCAAACATATCTCTAGCTGGTCCTGTAACCTTTGGGCAGACTGAACAACCCCTGCTCCCCATTTTCCACTTTGAGCCTTCCTTGCCTTCCAATTTTTCAACTTCTTTGTTTTTTCAGATCCCAGGAAAACCACATTTTCCCCTGAAATCCTCTTTTTCACTTAAAGCTTGTTGCAAATGCTAACATGTATGTATGTCCTTCACAGTTAGTCCCAGGTGGAAGTGAACTTGTCCCTCCTCTGAACTACCAGGGTGCCCAATATGGCACTCTGTTTTTTTCTTCCTACCCAATCAGTTTATAAATTCCTTGAGATTTGTTGCTGCTATATTTTAATAGCACCTAGTATTGTGACTTGCATAATGTGCATTCAATAAATATTTGATGACAGATGAATGGGTTATACAATAGGATTATATAACTTAATTTAAAGAGAAAATTATATTTTATGGATGTAAAAATCCATAAAACGTTTTGAAAGTAAAACTGTTTATTGAGCACCTACTATCTGCCAGTTACTGTTCCACGCATTGAGAATAATAGAAACTAATAAAACAGTCTATAAAATATACTGTATCAAATGATGGTAAGTGCTATGAAGCAAGATAAGTGAGGCTAAAAGGGATAGTGAAGGATAGTGAAGGAGGTGCTACTTAATATAGGGGGTAAGGAGAGTCTTCTCTGACAGGGTGGTATTTGGACAGAGATAATACATATAAGGACCCACTATACATCAGGATTAATTTTTAAACTGTCAGTAAGTTATAACTGAAAAAAATTGATTTTTTATTTTTAGTCTCACCTGTTTATATTACACATGAATAATTTAAAAATAAGGCCAGGTGTGGTGGCTCACGCCTGTAATCCCAGTGCTTTGGGAGGCTAAAGCAGGAGGATCACTGGAGCCCAGGAATTTGAGGTTACAAGGACCTGTGATCACACCACTGCACTCGAGCCTGGGTGACTGAGTCTATCTCTGAAACAATAAATTAATTTTAAAAATTTTTTAAAAATCAAGGTCTCATTGATAATGTCTGTTGCTATTTGTTTCTCATAGAAAATTCAGTAAGATCACTCTTGAATATCTCTTCTTCTAGTATAGTTGGAAACATGTTCAACTTTTAATGTTTTAATAATATATGCTAATGTTATCTTCAAAAGAATCATCTGTTTTTCTAACTATAAATTTCAGAACTGATGGAGCCAAAATAAATTTAGACAGGACATTGGGTAAAAGAGCACCTCCATTACCAGAGGTCAATTATCCTCCAACTGTAAGTTTATGTTTTCTCTT